AATGTGCGTGCTTCGTCGAGCTGCTGATGCACGTCGTCTGGACAACCAGCACGAAATATCTTGTATCCGGAACCTGGCTGTGCACCGTGAATCATTCTCGCTGCTTGTATGAATTTAGTAGGGCACCTGCGTGCTTGCGTCACTCAGTGAATCATTATTCAGTGGCAAGCCCAGCTCATCTTCAACTGCGTTATATCTAGCACATCATGAAGTTGCTGTAGCGAGCTTCCAACGTCTGTCTCGTACGCTTCGTGATCATGCTCTCGCACATTTCAGAGGGCTCAACAGAGAGATACGAGTTCGAAAGCTAACCACAGTTGATGAATGACTTGGTACACATTGGATCCAGGTCCACTAAGCTACGCGCAACCAACCATTGATGTATCGTCGGGAGAACAACTTGGTCGCGCAAGAGGACATGTTGGTAAGCGAAAGGACAACTTGGACTGAAGAGGTGTCGACTAGTCATAAGATTCTCAACCGGATGATGGGCACGGTTACATGGACCGTCACCGCGAGCACGGCCGTGATGCAAATGTTAAATTTGTCGCCAAATTTGTTTTCCTTGCACACGACGTCGTCTACATGTAATCAAGTCTTCAACTGGATTCTCGTCGTGCCACGTCAGAAGTGGTACCTTTGAGGGCGACCACGTACGTGCACAGGCCAGCGAGGGCCACGAGCCGAGGCAAGAACACACCACCACCACCACCATGGCCACCTGCTGCACGGTATGGAACGCGGTCCATCACAAAAACTGGAAACCGTACAGCGCAGCCATGAGTACCATCTTGACGTACCCTTGTATGTACCCAGCGCATTCGGCCCTACACCATCGAAATGACATCGGCAAAGTCTTCTTGCGATGTGCTCGCACCAGTTGTTGTGAAAGGTGAGGGGAAATAGCTCAGTGGTAGAGAGCATCGGTTTCTTAACTCAAAGGTTGAGGTTCGATCCCCGGTTTCCCCGGATTATTTCCGCAAGGATTTATCCGTCCCTCCCCTGGGGAATCCGGATAACAAGGGCTGCGTACGAAGACGAGGACCGAACTTCGAAGAAGCTTGGTCGAAGCACGAGGTATGAACAGTCAACTTGACTGTGAGCAAAGTAAAAACCGAAGATTATAGGGCTAAGCATGCGGCCACGAACTCCTCTGCCAACAGGAGGCTTTAGACGACGTAATATAGACTATTTCAGATACCATCATATTGCATCTTCAATAGGCTATTTAATGCTAGATTTGGTTCACCCTTGCAAAAGCCTTTGCTGCTCCCAGAAAAACTCCTTCTCATCGCCCAAACATACAGTACAGTACCCCATTTGAGGTTTTACTCGGAACAGGCTCTAAAACGAACAATAAGACTGACGGGTGGAGACACTCACATGGAGCGGAGGTAGTATAACTTAAAAAGTAAAAAGTGCAGTGCTTAGATATTATCAATTTGAAGCACACAATGCAGCACGTTTTTCCTTGAGCATAGTCCATCGAGCGAAGTACAAGGCAATGCCAAAACACGTAATGGCCCCAACCATCCACGCCAACGGAAACAGCAAGGCTTGGATTACCATCCTTGTCTTGATGGCACTCTGGGTTGAGCACTACGACGCCGTCCACAAGCACGCTGTTGCAGTGAGGCGCCCAAGCATCCTTGATGAAGCCCATGATGATGGGGGCGGGAACGTCCCCGAGCACATGCAACACAAGGGACTTCACACCAACAGCGAGGGATCGTTGCGATGGGTGCACACAGTGAAACATAGCTGTCATCGTGACTGGCGAAATGACACCGAAAGTTACAGTCGAGAGTCCATGCCACACTGTTGCGTTGCCAAGATGGACATACCCGTAGTCCTAGCACCCACTCGACGCGCCTGGCTGGAGCCATTCGGGCGGCCAGGCCCGGTCTGCGGTGGACAGCTTCGGGCGGCGCGGTGTGTGGTGGAGCAGGAAGGGTTAGGGTTAGGAAAGGCCAGGTCTAGTCTCCGATGATTGGTGGAACCAAGAGGGGATTTAGACTTAGAGTTAGTATAGCGTTAGTTTAGTCTGTTAGTGAGTAGTTCAGTTCTAGTTTTGCCTCCAACTGCTCAATACACCACCAAGCTTTGCCTGGGAGTCCACAGCTCCCCCAACATTGTGTTTGTGTTGAGAAGTTGCACGGAGGCGCAGTTGCGACAAAGAATTCTTTAGTGCATCAAGACTAGCACTCATCAAGGATGTCCCAGAGAGGACAGGACCGACCGCGTCAGGGCCGCAGCGACGACGCCCAAAGAGGCATGAGCAACGGACCGCACGAACGACCGCTGGAGCGAATCGACGGGGGTGCACACCCAGTCCCCACCTGCCCTAAGTTGAAGGGCATCCGCCAGGAACAAGTGCGCCAGTGGCTGCTCGACCGAGAGACATACGAAGAAGACCTGCGGGCCGTATGCATGCGTCGAAACCTCGAAGTGCGGAACTACCG